ATCCACCAGATGCCCTTGCCAGACGCTTGATCGCTTCATGTCAAATCCCATCCAGACACGTCCAAAACACCCGCCCCGGGCCTAAGCCCAAAGCAGCCGAACAAAGCCCGGACGAAACCATGACAGCGGTCAAGTCACTTGCTTTTCTCTCGCCCGCGATACAGGCCTCGAAATCCAGGACCGTCCCCTCAAGGACATCCCAGACCCCGCGCCAACCCGCAGGCTCACCGATTCACATATCCAACAATCCCCGGCCAATACGGCCAGACCGCCCAAACCCATCAGAGCAAAGGGCGGAAAACACAGAACACCCATAAGGGTGGAACTCGAACTCCAAGACGCTGCATAACGCGCTCAAGTAGGCCAAAGGCCGGTAGCGCAAACCAAAAACCCCGCTCTCCGCTGGTACCGGCCCTCGCCACTTACCTGGCTCGGGATTTCCGCCTGCCGTCGTGCCACTGGCACGCCGGCCCCGCTACGCGGGACGGCGGAAATGGTGGAGCCGGACGGGATCGAACCGACGACCTGAAGCTTGCAAAGCTACCGCTCTCCCAACTGAGCTACGGCCCCGATCTACCGGCGCTCGCGCGCCACTCGAAAATGGCTTGCCGAGCCGGAGCAGCGAGGTGTCCGCCTCCGCTTCTTCGAAGCTCCGGCGCGACAGCCTTCTCGCTAACCTCGCTTCGCTCGATAAGCTGCGAAGGCTGGTGGGCCTGGATAGACTCGAACTATCGACCTCACCCTTATCAGGGGTGCGCTCTAACCACCTGAGCTACAGGCCCTTTTGCCGACCCGTGCAACAGCACGGGTAGAAAAGCTCCAGTGGAGCTTTTCTAGGCAAAAGCCCGAGAGGCTGTGCCTCGAGGGAGCGCCCGATAAGCTCCACAACCGCACCCCAGTGCCCGCCATCGCGAGAAAGCCTCGCATGGGAGCGCAGGGCGGCGCCGTTTTGCGCGCCCGCCTCTCGTTCGAGAGCGCAGAAGCGCTTTTAGCGTCTTGGAAGGGATGGGCTGGCGGTCGGCCTTGTGGTCCAGGTCTATGACCTGGGTGCTCAGGTGAGAGACCTGAGCTTTGTTCTAATCTCGTCTCGGCTCTTTCGGCGCGAGGCCGAGGTGAGCGAAAGACGAGCCTTAGAAAGGAGGTGATCCAGCCGCAGGTTCCCCTACGGCTACCTTGTTACGACTTCACCCCAGTCGCTGAACCCACCGTGGTTGGCTGCCTCCTAAAAGGTTAGCGCACCACCTTCGGGTGAATCCAACTCCCATGGTGTGACGGGCGGTGTGTACAAGGCCTGGGAACGTATTCACCGCGGCATGCTGATCCGCGATTACTAGCGATTCCGCCT